TTTCTTATCGATATTTTTTACCGATTTGGGTATCGATGTTTTTATCGATTTTGTTATCGGTATTTTAATATATTATGTTACGGATGTCTTTATTTATTTTGTTAACGATTTTTTTATCGATTTTGATTTCGAAATTTTTATTGATTTGGTTATCAATATTGTTATTGATATTATTATCGATTTTGTTATCGATACAAATGCTGTGACATCATATGACAGAACATCACATGATATGACATCATTTGGCATGACATGCCATCCTATCACGTCATCTCACCTCACATCATCTAGGAGAATATGTAGATGAAGAAAAGGATTAAAGCAAAGATATAAAAGATAAAAACAGAGATGTAAGCTAGATATGTAACGTAGGTTTCACTTCTCCAGTGTGGCCCAGGCGTAGTTACGCTTTTTTTTTTGTAAATTTGAACTATAACAGCCCCACAAACAATTCCTTTATTAGTGTGAATTACACTCAGCATCAAGCCATCAGCTGTATTTGTTACTAGCAAATAGTTACTATTAAAAATGTATCCAGTAACAAACCAGTAAAACCTGCAAGTTAAGCAGTCATTTTCGCACTCTCAATTTCCCCTACTTTGCTATTTTCTTGCAAGTTTTGTAAGAAACCGGCAGCCAGTAAAAATTCCAGTAAAATGGGTTCATACTATGTATTTGTCAATGTTATTGTGGCTTGTTAACATTTTATTTTTAATATTTTTATTGAGCTTTGTACCACTATTGTTTATTAGCAAAAATTGAAAAAGCAACAAAGTCTAAGCGGTTGAAGTTATAGCACTGTTTCGGAGATCACCACATCTCCTCATCAGACTTCTTTTTGCTAGACTTCAGCAGGGATCGAACCTGCGAATTCGATGTTCAAAGTCACAAGCGTTAACCACTGAGCGGATGTACACAGCAGGCTCGATCCCTGCTGAAGTCTAGAAAAAAGAAGTCTGATGAGGAGATGTGGTGATCTCCGAAATAAAATGAATTAGCAACAAGAGTTTACGTGTGTACATCCGCTCAGTGGTTAACGCTTGTGACTTTGAACATCGAATTCGCAGGTTCGATCCCTGCTGAAGTCTAGAAAAAGAAGTCTGATGAGGAGATGTGGTGATCTCCGAAATAGTGCTATAACTTCTACCGCTTAGACTTTGTTGCTTTTTCAATTTTTGCTAATAAACAATAGTGGTACAAAGCTCAATAAAAATATTAAAAATAAAATGTTAACAAGCCACAATAACATTGACAAATACATAGTTTAGGAAGAGCCTGCCTGAAACTATACAAAAAAGCAAATAAGCAAATGGATGTATAGAATTGACAACAACAACCACGCTGTCGAGTTTAAATAGCGGCAAATCAGCTGCACTTGATAGTAGTTGGTTGAATAAGGAAAATGAATTAGCAACAAGAGTTTACGGGATGTACATAGCTCAGTGGTTAACGCTTCTGACTTTGAACATCGAATACGCAGGTTCGATCCCTGCTGAAGTCTAGAAAAAAGAAGTCTGATGAGGAGATGTGGTGATCTCCGAAATAGTGCTATAACTTCTACCGCTTAGACTTTGTTGCTTTTTCAATTTTTGCTAATAAACAATAGTGGTACAAAGCTCAATAAAAATATTAAAAATAAAATGTTAACAAGCCACAATAACATTGACAAATACATAGTATGAACCCATTTTACTGGAATTTTTACTGGCTGCCGGTTTCTTACAAAACTTGCAAGAAAATAGCAAAGTAGGGGAAATTGAGAGTGCGAAAATGACTGCTTAACTTGCAGGTTTTACTGGTTTGTTACTGGATACATTTTTAATAGTAACTATTTGCTAGTAACAAATACAGCTGATGGCTTGATGCTGAGTGTAATTCACACTAATAAAGGAATTGTTTGTGGGGCTGTTATAGTTCAANTGCGAAAATGACTGCTTAACTTGCAGGTTTTACTGGTTTGTTACTGGATACATTTTTAATAGTAACTATTTGCTAGTAACAAATACAGCTGATGGCTTGATGCTGAGTGTAATTCACACTAATAAAGGAATTGTTTGTGGGGCTGTTATAGTTCAAATTTACAAAAAAAAAAGCGTAACTACGCCTGGGCCACACTGGAGAAGTGAAACCTACGTTACATATCTAGCTTACATCTCTGTTTTTATCTTTTATATCTTTGCTTTAATCCTTTTCTTCATCTACATATTCTCCTAGATGATGTGAGGTGAGATGACGTGATAGGATGGCATGTCATGCCAAATGATGTCATATCATGTGATGTTCTGTCATATGATGTCACAGCATTTGTATCGATAACAAAATCGATAATAATATCAATAACAATATTGATAACCAAATCAATAAAAATTTCGAAATCAAAATCGATAAAAAAATCGTTAACAAAATAAATAAAGACATCCGTAACATAATATATTAAAATACCGATAACAAAATCGATAAAAACATCGATACCCAAATCGGTAAAAAATATCGATAAGAAAATCTATAAAAAATATCGATGTCTAAATCTATAAAAAATATCGATTACAAAATCTATGAAAACATTGATAACAAAATGGATAAAAATAAAAATTTTGCGAATGTTTTATGATATACTTAAATCGATACTTATGTAGTTCATACACCTCTCAAATACTTAAATTGTCCAAATAATGTTTTGGGGCGCATCTATTCATACTCAAAATTTAGTTGGTTTTTAAAGTTGGTACACGGACGACCGATTTTGGTCAAAACGGGGATTGAGATGGAAGAATAGGACCCTCTGATTTCAAAGCTACCGTCCATTTTCTTTTATCAAGGGTTTCTTGTGCAAACGCAAGTAAAAATTTTGATTTTTGGTAATTTTTTAAGGCCTCTTGAGGATGCCTAGGCGGTCGTATTTGCATTTTTGTTAAAAAGGATGCCTCCTAAATCATCTTCCCCAGGTATCATTGGTTAATTCTGCCTGGTTTCCTTATAATAAAGAGTGCGGCTCTATACAAAATCCCACCCAAAGTTAATTGGAACTTTTTTGACAGACAACCCATTAAATTTTTGTCCAGAAGCTACAACTAACTTTAAGTATCAATTTAATTTTGACTATAAATCCGCCCCTTTGAGTTTGAATCAAAACCACTTAATTTTTCCGACCCGCTTCCGCCCTATGCGGCCCGCTGTCAGCTAATAAATTTGCAGTCATTAGAAAAAAGAAGAATTATTCAGCTTCTTATGTTTCTCTTTGATTTGGTCTGTGGGAAGATCAATTGCCCTGAGTAGTTACTAGAGCTAATAAATTTCAATGTTCCTCACAGAACCTTACGATCTCAACCTCCCTTTTATCTTAGTGTAGTTAAGGCAAACTTCTATTCGTTAGCGCCTATATTTAGAGCGCTCTCGGAATTTAATAACATCTCTAAGAAGATCGATATCGAATTTTCATCATCAAGATCCTTATTTAAGTCCACGCTTGAATCGTTTTACTCTTAGGTTTAGTTCATGCACTGCTATGTTAACACTATTATCGTATAATACTTATTTTTGTAATCTGTGTAATCTAGTCTGTAAGATTTTTAATCATAGACTGAATAAAGATGAATTGAAAATCAAAATATGAAATATGCAAAAATTACAAACTACTGAATGCACAGCACAAACCAAGACATTTTTATATAAGGTTGTGTTACTATTTATATCAGCTGATTTTGTGTATGTGCTTCACCTCACGGCTTATAAAGTCAAATTGAAATATTTTTTTTTGCACTTCCAAACACACTCTTACAGATTTTGACAGTTTACGCCGCAAAAGCAAAAACAAAATACATCCAAATTTATGTTTTTGTACTCCTGCTAACACCTTATATTAATTCGCTTTGGCACAAAGAATTGTACATAGTTCAATTTGCTGTGACATCATCAGAACATCACATGATATGACATCATTTGGCATGACATACCATCCTATCACGTCACTTCACATTATATCACATGGCATCTTATCACGTCATCGCACCTCACATCATCTAGGAGAATATATAGATGAAGAAAAGGATAAAAGCAAAGATATAAAAGATAAAAACAGAGATGTAAGCTAGATATGTAACGTAAGTTTCACTTCTCCAGTGTAGCCCAGGCGCACTTACTTTTTTTTATAAATTTGAACTATAACAGCCCCACAAAGAATTCCTTTATTAGTGTGAATTACACTCAGCATCATGCCATCAGCTGTATTATTTATTAGCAAATAGTTACTATTACAAATGTATCCAGTAACAATCCAGTAAAACCTGCAAGTTAAGCTGTCGTTTTCGCTCTCGCAATTTCCCCTACTTTGCTATTTTCTTGCAAGTTTTGTAAGAAACCGGCAGCCAGTAAAAATTCCAGTAAAATTGCTACATACTAGTTTTTACTGGATAATGTCTAAAATAACACACGTTGAAGTGCATCATTACATTTCCTACTCATAAAAAGGACAGAAACTATATATGTACGATCTACTACTTGTCAAATGCATGCTAAGCAATCCGAGATACGGCATATTTACCATCATCTCTGCACCCACAATTAACATAGGCCACACTAGTTTAAACTGGAAAGTACATTAATATCAGGATCACCTAGTTCAGCCTAGACTTAACCGGTTTGTCCAAACCGGTTTCGGGAAGACCAGTTTATCTAGGCTAAACCGGTATATCCTATCGCATGTTGGTAGAACTAGTTTGGTCTAGGCAAAACAAGTTTAGCCGTAAAATCGGGTGTGGCCGGTAACATATATAAACCTTGTGGTGCTCTCGTACTCTTGCAAATTTGGGATAGTATTTTTGCATTTCGTTCAATCTGTTCAAATTGCAAGACTTCGAGAATACCCCTATTATTTTTGTTGGTTAGTGGTTGAGGCTATGGAACCATATGTATTATGATCAAAGTTTGCTAAATGTAATTAATATCTTGTAAAAGCAATTTTATAATAAATTTGTTCAATGTTTTTTTCTTCTTCCTTAAAGATTCTTCGTACTATTATGAAGGTAGCCAAAGTCAAACTTCGGCTGTGTTAAATCAGGACATGCGATCACCACTAGCAGCAACTCGTGCGAATTCATTAGCATCTGCTGCTTCGCCAACTGGAAGTGCGTGCACAAAATCGGAAACATCTGGCATATTCTTGGTGTAGTAGCTTAAGAACCGTACTAAATTGTATTCACAAAATCAATACATACTAACGATTTCGTACCGCTGCAATAATTTAAACGAATACCTTGTATTTGTATGCATACTTACATATGTATGTACGTATTTATGTATATACGAATTTATAGTTATGACAAAAAATGTGTACACACAATGCAATAATTTTATATTTGGATATGCATACATATGTACACACAGATATACATACGCGAAGCAGAGGATTCGCTTGAAAAAAAAAAACAATATCTTGTCCTCGGTAATGTCAAAGTGAGTCTTTTGAATGGAAACACTTTCCAACGAAATTTCCATATTCTTCCTCTTACCTAAAATAAAAAAATAAAATCCTTCGAAATTATTTTTACATATGTATGTATCTATACATATATGAAGATCTACATACTTATATAACTAGGTTAAGAGAAATTATTCTACCTGCTTACATACTTAGTCAGACCAGGTACAAATTTAATGATTAGGTCAGGTTAGGTTGAAGCCGCTGCCTTCATCCAACGTAAGCGAGGCACATTTAGACCCAGTGGATCCGTTGTGATACCAATTGAGAGCTCGAATTCGAACCCGTCCGTTATCTAGAAGTAAATCCAGTTGGTTAGATTCAGAAAGAGCGAGAATTCGTGAATGCCTGCTTCACTTAGATCGGCAAGACAGACAAAAAGGTGGTGGTGAAATGAGCATCTTCTCAGTAGAGGGCTTTCTTACCCAATGAGTGCGTCGGATCTTTTCTTGTCGAGTCGTCCCACGCGTGGGTTCTTCCGACCATCTTTTGTTTGTCTTCTCAACGAAGAATGTCCTGAGCCATGTCTTACAGGTAGATTGAGGTATGCCCGCTGCATAAGAGGAGTTGACGTCAGGCAGGGTGGGTCCCTTCCTAGCAAGTTCGGCCGCCGCACAATTACCTTGAATGTCCTTGAAGCTAAATAGTTAAGGAATTTCCTACATTCTCTCGCAGTTATAGATGGGATCATGCAGTAATCCAGAGACCTGACAGCCGCTTGGCTATCGGAGTATATAGTTACTGAAGAAATATTATGAAAGATTCGATAAGTCAGAGTGCTGCCTCTTCAATAGCCGCGAGTTCTGCTTGGAAGACACTGCAAAGGTCTGGTAGCCTAATGCAGAGATCTAGTCAGAGGTCCTTCTCCCAGGAGTGTATCCCACTCCCTACTCTTACATTTAGTTTGAATCCATCCGTGTAGATGGCTGTGGAGTTATCTTGGAGGCCCTAGGTCGAGTCGTCCTCCCAGTGCTTCCTCGAAGGAATACGAGTGGAGAACTTATAGTCGACCTCCATCAGTGGTGTTGTATAATCTGGGGACCTGAAAGTGTCGGGGTAGTTGATTAGAATGTTGGTGTGACCGAGTCTGGTGTCTTTCCATTTTTACAGTGCATTTATTCTTACTGCACTGCAGCTCACCTGAAGCTTTCCAAAAAGGGTAGAAAGTTTGAGTGTTTCCATAGCTTTGGTGGGTGTGGATGGTAGCGCACCTTGGTAAGCTTAGAATTTGTGAGCGATTTATCCAGTGATGTCCACCAGACTGTGCCGCCATAGAATAATATAGGACGTAGCACTGCTGTGTAAATCCAGTGAAAAATTTGGGGGTTGAGACCCCATTTCTTGTAGAGCTGGAGAAACATCGATGGAAACACCGATGAATCGATGTTTTAATATGAGCTGCTGACATGGATGTTTTTTGCTCAACATCGATGCTTTTGCGAATTGCAAACCTACATTTAGTTGGCGCGTAAAAAGGTAAAATTATGCAATTGTTCATAAGTCGGCAAAAATCTTAATAATATTTAAATTACTTTAAAATCATGAGGTACGTTTTTACATGATTCAATAATTAAAGGTTTGCTCACTACTAACATTAGTTTTGATACTCCATTACAAAAGGTTGCACACACACATACGGTGCCTTGCTAAAGGTGCCGATTTTTTTAATAATTTTTGATATCGAGCCCTTTAAGAGACAAAAGCATTAAACACAATTTATTATATTGAAATTAATTACTCATGCGTCAGCAAAAATCTTAATAATTTTTAAAAGACTTTAAAAAGGTGTCTCATTTATACATAAGTAGTTTTTGACCTCAAGTCCTTGAAGGAAGAAAAGCATTATAATCTCTTATATTCAAGTTAAATATAGAAAAAACTAAACTCTATATTTTATGGGCATTTTTTATATATTAGAATTTATTCCCAAGCGAAAATTTACGAAGTGAAAGGCTCAATAGCCTAAAGCTGAGATCAGACGATTGCCGCAAATGCACCAATCTGGAACAATTTTTATTGTGCTGTATTGGAGCACAATAAAAAAATTGTCCCAATCAAATTCTATACAATCACACGGTTGCCTCTTTTTATACAATTTTGATTGCCGCAAGTTGGTGAAAATCAATATAGTGACAATAATTGCCCCAAATTTATCACACGATTGTTCTAGCATGCGGCAATCGTGACAATAAGATGTTGCGCTGACTTCTAAATTCTGTTTTGCTCTTTGTTGTGTAAAACTGGCGTATTCTTAAAAAAAAGAAAATTTCATCTAATTTATATATTGTGGGCTAATTTTATGCATATTTGTTGTTTGAAAGCAAAGAAGCAACAACTTGAGCCCAATGAAAACTGACGCATTTATTTAGAAGCTTGAGTGTACAGTTTTTTTATTTTTCGACGATAACTGCAACGTGCTAAATATGTGGAGTTCAAGTTACAAGAGTTTTCTTTTTAATTTTGGTTTTCTTTTTAATTTTGCTTTTTTATTAATTACAAGTAAAATCAAATAAATAAAAATTTCAAATCTATACAACAATTATAAACATTTCTTAAACTTTTGATCACAATTCAATGGTTTTTAATTTGGATTTCTAGAAAAAAATTTGTTATGCAAAAAAATTATAAAAAATCGCCTGCTAAAAAAATTATAAAAAATCGACAGGATTTTTTAGCAACTTCAAACTTGCACCTTATTGTACTAAATTTTAATGAGCTATAAAACTGAATAACAATTTTTTTTTCTAGAAATCGAAATTAAAACCCGTGCAATTGTGTTCAAAAATTTAAGAAATTTTTATAATTTTTGTATAAAGCTTGCAATTTATGCGGTTTTGTTAGACAATGACCTATACTTTTATAGAAAAATAATGAACACTAAACAAATAGAAGAAAAATAGTCAAAACTGGTCAAAATGTTGAGGTTCTACCGTTTCGTCTGGGCTGTATGGAACTTTTAATTTTTTCTTTTTAATAAATTTATACTGTCATGGCAGTTTGCCAATTGGTGACATAAAATATCTTTCGTATTCTTCTCGTATGAGTTTTGCTAGTGATGGTATATGTCGCAAAGATTCCGTCATCGGACTTCAAGAAAAATTATAATTTGAATACAAATTAAATTAAAAGTTATGTTGCTTCCGAAAACAAGGATATTAATTTCAGTGATTTTTGGACACAGAAGGAAGCAAAAAAGTAAATTATAAATAAACAGCCTAAATATTGTTGTGTATTGTTCACTTCAATTGCCGCACAAGAACACAATAAATATTGCCGCAATTTTGAAATTTTCATTGCCCCATGATTGCCAATCGAGTTATCACACGATTGCCGCAAATGGGTTGTATTTGATTGGGCATTGTAAGCACAATATCGGCCTCTATTGCCGCATGAGTCAATTTATTGTGAAATCACACGATTGGGGCATAAAATGAGGCAATAATTGGTGTATTGCGGCAATCGTGGGATCTCAGCTTAATTCTCAAATTTTTATTTTTCATTCAAACATCGAAACCATCGATGCTGCCAAACATCGATGTTTCTCCAGCTCTAATTTCTTGCCTATAGCCGTTTTGCAGGCATAGGCCTTCTTGGTCCGCTCCTCTACATTGCGTTTCCAGGTCAGTTTCCTATCCAAGATGACGCTCGAGTATTTCACTTCATTAGAGAACGACAGCGCTACGGCGTTTAAAGTAGGAAGTTGAAATAAGGGGATTTTTGTTTTCCGTGTAAAGAGAACCGTGACCCTTTTAGCCGGGTTGGCGTTCAGTCCGTATTCTCTATACCAGGTTTTCACGATACTCAAGGCGTTCTGCAACAGTCCTCCTAGGATTTGTGGGTATTTACCAGTTGCAGGTAGGAAAAGATCATCGGCATATGCAATAGTGTTGCAGCCAGTGCTCTGTAAGCGCATGAGTAGGGTGTTTATCGCAAGATTCCGCAGGAGTGGTGAGAGTACTCCTCCTTGAGGAGTGCTCCTTGTCGCTTATCTTATGATGTGAGCTGCACCCATCTCCGAATAGATAGTTCTCCGATCGAGCAGAAGACGGACAAAGTCTGCCAGTGTCGATCCAGTCCAATCTGAAGCATAGATGATGTAATCGCTTCTGGGAGGACATTATTAAAGGCACCTTCTATGTCTAGAAAGATCCCTAATGTTAGGTCCTTGAATGCCAAGGCTTTTTTAATATCGGAAACTATTTTGAGGAGGGCAGTTTTCACAGATTTTCCTTTCGAGTAGGCATATTGGAAGTCAGATAGATCCTTAGGATCCATCTTTTGCCGAATGAATGTGACCAGTATCCTTTCCAGGACCTTTATGAAGAAAGAAGAACGGAAGATTGATCGAAAATCGTTGGGCTTCACATGAGAGGTATGAAGACGACCTTCGCCAATGTCCATGCTTTTGGTATATGTCCCAGGTTGAGAAAACCCTTATAGATTACCGTTATGTTGGGGCATAATATGTCAGATGCTTCTTGCAGCTCCGCTGGGAAAATGCCACCCACTCCAGGGGATTTGAAAGGTTTAAAATATCTTATAACCCTATTCACATTCCCGTGGGTTATGTTGGCTTCCCCCGCCGCAAATGGTCCTAGAGCCGGAGCCGGGTTATTGAACGCTACGGTGCTGCCAGGAAGAGGTGAAGTCTACTCGCCGTTTGGCCTCTGGATATAACCGGGTAGAAAAGGGACACTTTGATAATACCTTCCGTAAACGGTTGGCTTCTAAATATTCATCAATTTGTCACAGAAGTTTTTCCA